ATTACCATACATAAATGAAGATTATAAAAGACGAGCAACATCTGTTATACGACCCTCGGGGATTGACAACGTAAAAGCTTGTTTTGTGAATGGTAAACCATTGTCTCAAGTGTTTTCAGCTCCCAAAGGACAAACGAATTGTCCCAACAAATGCGAGACCTGTAAAAGTGCTAAGAAATCTAATCAATGCTTGAAGAAGAATGTGGTATACAAAATTCATTGTTCACATTGCGGAAATTTGTATATTGGAGAAACCGGGAGGACCATTGGCTCGCGTATAAAAGAACATTTATCAATGGATAAACAAACAGTGTTTAAACATATAATGAGTCACAAGAGTAAAAAGGACAAACCAAATCAGGACGACATTACTTGGAGAATCATTCACAAGAACATTAGATACAATGATGAACGTAAATGTATTGAGGCCATCGAAATTCAAAAACATTCAGGGGAGATAATGAATGGTTGTATTGGGAGAGTAATTAATGTATAACATTCGCATATAACAATAGGTAAATAAGCATGTATATAGAACCATATTTTTTATTGTTTTAGATTTGAATATTCATAGTTATAATTAATTTTAACATTTGTCAGTGATTAGGTATATAAGGAACCTAGTATTACTCGAACAATTAGTCCACTGAAGAAGCCTTAATCGGAGAAACGTTTGGACGGTTTTAATATTTTTAACTTTTTATTAAAATTTTAATGTCTGAAGAAGAATACAAACCACTCATTATTAATACCAGACATGATACTTCAAACACCTTCATATATATATATATATATATATATATATATATATATATATATATATATATATATATATATATATATATATATATATATATATATATATATAATGGCTTTGTAGCCGAAAATTTGAGAATTTTAAAATTTCGCCTAATAAAGAACTATGTTCACTAAGAATGCAAAATTTCAACTTTACTTTTCACTAAAATAAACTATACCATTAGAAAAATTGCAAAAATATATGTATAAGACATTTAAGCGAGTAGTGCGAAATTTCAAAGCCGGTTTTGAGCTTAAAGTTGGCAAAATAGTAACTATTAGCATCAATTATAGCGCATTTTCTTCATTTTTGACCGTTTTATATATCGGCTACGAAAATCATACTACTTGCTTAAATGTGTTAATATATATACTTTTTTGCGAACTTTCTAATGGTATAGTTTATTATTGTTTAACGTGAACTAGAAATTTTGCATTGTTGTCATCATAGTACTTTTTATAAGCAAAATTTTAAAATACTTACATGTTCATCTATAAAGCCAAAATTAGAGTTGCCAACACATATATCTAGTCTTCTTCATTAATTTAATGCTTTTACTCCATGAAAATGTCAGTTGCTAGCTTGTAACAGGAAATGCCATCAAACAAATTTTGTTGAACATTTTCAGGTTTTGGGTACAGTAGCTATGTTGAAAAGTTATGTTAATATATGTGAGAAATATATCATATTTAACATATCTATACCAATTCAACCAACAAGTGTTAATAACATACCTCCCCTTTACTACTAGAAGTTGCTGTAAAATATAAGATCTGATAACAGGCGTGATATCAATTCCTTGACCATCAAAAGGTGTAAAATCTTCCGTTCTTTTTTCGTCCCTGATCACGTAGCTAATAAATTTTCGAACTAGATCTGGATTTGGCAACTGCTCTCCAAAGCAATACACAGACACAAGCTCCATAAAAAATGACTTGCAACGGTTACGAAAACTGTTGCAGATCTCAAGAGCACGACTTTAAAAGAAAATTTAAAACCTAATGTTATCCGCCCAAAATCTAGAAATTGTTCATGCATTAACAATGTTATTTAATTTAAAAAAGTTGTATTAGTTTTCAAAATATGCACCATCTGTCCTGCGCTTTTATTTCTGGTACAATTTAATTTCAAAGTGCACATGATACGAAATCCTCCGCTCCCTTTATTATGCATCACTTGCAAGTCTCTTGAAAATAATGAAGAATTCCAACAAAATAGAAAGAAATTTTCATGATTTGCATTTATTATTTTTTATTTATATAGGTGCTGTGGTGAATATGACTTATTCCAGAAAACGAAACTGTTGTTCCTAAGTGTCTACAGAAGACATTATTAAAATAGGAGAGAGATATGGTGACTAGTGTGCTTCTATGAAAACCACATAAACATTCGAAAATGTTTGCTTAGGTGCGCATAGCAACTGTACCAAATTTCATCGCATTTCGTTGAATCACTTCAGAGATATTAGACTTTCTTCCCTTTGCTGCCATCTTAAACAATGTTAGATACCTTGTTAGAATAACACTGTTAGATTCAGGGAGTTCATTTAACTCTGGTGCAGTTAACCCCTTAAAATTTCCAGTGCATTGACGTAATAACAAGAATTACAAAATGTTCGATAACTAGGAAAGAAGATTAGCTGTGAATAAATTATTAAGGCCATTCTTCATCATTTTCAAGATATTTTCATGGGATGCAAAAAAAATGGGGGGGGGGGGGGTTTTA